TGGTGATAGTGTAGAGTATCCATTTTGATGTTGTTTCTATATCATCTGTTACTCATATAATCAATATCTCATCTTTTTCTTAAGACGTAGGATGTGGCTGATTCGTCCATGAAATTAATTGATGTCGAAAACAATAAGTCAGGCTTACTCCCTACTACGACTTTCCTTAACACGTTTTACCTCTTTGTACAAAACAGAGGCATCTTCAACCCCTGACAGCGTAATTTTGAGTATTTATATTATGTACCTCAGCATCATCTAGCTACCAGTGAAGTGTGTATGCTTTCCTGACAGCTATTTTTCATAATTTGTAAGTTTAATTATCAACCTTCATTTGTTCAGGCTTTACCTATTACTATTGCATAATTCACAAAGTTAGAAAACTTTAAACAATGTCAAAGCAAGTCATGATGGCAAATATAAGAAGCGGATCGGAATGATCAAAGGGTCGGCTCCAAGTCCATGTGGACACTTGCCCTGGAGTTTCCTTGCCATCACTTGGAACATGTAGACACTTCAATTTGAGCCTCCCAATACTTGTAAGGAGACCCTTCCGTCAGCTATTGAAATAATTCAAATGGTAATGTAGACGCGGTTCGCAATAGTTGGGTATTAACAAGACAATCAGCATAAGTACAGCACGACGATGTTTAAATATCCTTGGCTGTTATTATCAACAACAAAAACAAGGAATATATGATTATGGGCATGAGAGAGAAGATGTTATTGAATACCGCATATATTTTTATCGGAGATAGTCAAGTTCGAAAAATATATGGCAACTTATGAAGGAGAACATATGAAGAGAATTGCACCTATTTTAGATTTAGGAGACAAGGAACACATATTTGTAGTTCATGATGAATGCATTTTCTACTCGAACGATGGAAAACGTGAGTTACAGTTGCGCAAAAAGGTAATGAGAGAATTATCCTGACGTTCCAGAAGAAGCACGAGTATGTTTAAAACCAGGAGCGAATGAAGAAGGTTATTGGACAGCTGCACATCTTATTGAGCAAGCCAAACATAAAGCCATTCCTACATTTGAGGCTTTGTTTCCAAATTGCGTTGCAGAATTCGTTTTCGACAATAGTTCAAACCATACTGCGTTTGCACCGGATGCGTTGGTTGCGAAAAGAATGAATACTGGATCTGGTGGGAACACACCGAAAATGCGAGATACTTTTTGAGGTCCGAATCACGAAAAACAAAGTAAGCAGATTTTGTGTGAAAGAGGACTGTGGAGACAAAATATGGTAGGAGAATGCAAAACTATGTCGAAATGGAAACGGTGATCCTTTACGCACAAATTGTTGTGGAAGAAGAATTGTATCTCTACAACCGAAACGATCGAAAATTCTGGTCATTGTTTGTATGTTTTTGCCAGAATTTCACTGAAATTGAACTTTATTGAACGTTATTGGGGAGCAGCCAAACGATTTGCAAGAAATAACTGTAATCATACATAGAGGATTACAAGAAACAGTTCCACGTGCTCTTGATTCCGTTGATTTGGTAGATTCGCGCGAAAAACGTGGCGATGTATTAGTATGGATT